CGGTCGGAACTCATAATTGAAGTCTTAATGCGTTTAGAATTGGATTTCTCTTCTTCACAGACGTCTATATTGTATTTCCTACGCCTCGGAGGCATTGGAGGCATTAGACCACTGATGCCACTGATGTCCACCAGAACCGACTCTCGTAGTCGTAACCAATCGCCTAAATCACGATCTCTTCCACCAGAATGTAGGCTCTGTTGTCAACACACATATCATTCCCATTAAGACTAGTATTACATAACAATCAATCATTTGTTTCGTTCAAACATTGATTTCAGAGAAATTTGAAACATAAATAAGAGTGAAAAGAGTGTTAGACTGAAGAGTGATTTGTCCACAAAGAGAGACAACAATACAAAACAGAGGAATAAGAGTCAAATCAGAGATAATGACCAGATTTTGAAGATCGCGTTGTAGTGAATGACTCCCCAATTGATCCACTTTTGATGCAATTGTTGTCAATTATAAGCAATGGTTGTGTGGTTTTGGACTCAATGGCTCTCACTATTGGTTTTCAACTAATAATGCTTTTCAAATGCAATCGACTAATGAATTACACGAATTCACTCAAAACCTAATCGTTTGGAAATTCATGTAAAAAACAAAACAATAAAAAACAATCGTTTAATTCAACGTTTAGTTCACTTTTCAATTTCGCCGACTATTGGTTTGTTCACTGATTTTCAACACTATTTCTAATACAAATCAATACTTAAAAAATGTACAAAATCTATACCAAAATGAGCTCAAAATCGGGGACTCAATCGACTCAAGACATTATGAACACCACTAAAGCGAAGGCCATATAATAAGCCATACTATCGCTGATATTATATCAAAAACCTAATGAACGTCAATAACGTCGACGAATCGACACCTATTGAGTCCATTGTAGGCAATGCTAGACAAGGGTTTGGGGGCTCAGAGGGAGCGCTACAACACTGGCGTACGCTATGACTAACGCTATATAACCCTATTGTAAAAACTCAACAATCATTGACACATTGATTACGTTATGTAATCGGCGGTCAATATATAGGAGGCGACCCCTCTCTCTCTCTCTCTCTACGCAAGCCCTGTCCCCCTCACACCCACCCCATGACTGGCCCACCCGTAGTGCCCATACATAGGGCGCACACATGTGTGCATACAATATGACTGACGTCTGCACTAAAGGGTTGATTAATATGAAAATCAATGA